CAACATTGTATTTTTACTGTAGCTTTTATTTATCGGGACTGATTTTAAAGCATCGCTGTGTTGAATTTAGCAACAGATGGAAGTGGAAGTACATGTTTTTGCATGTAATTATCCATTAATACACAAAAGTACCAAAGTTGGTATAAGAAACATGGATCCTTTCATGCAACAAAAAAAAAAATAGAATTTTGGTCAAGTTAAAGTACCAAAGTTGGTATAAGAAACATAGTCATCAAAAATGGATCCTTTCACGCAAAAAAAAATATAATTTTGGTCAAGTTTACCGTTAATGTCAGTTATTTAAAAAAAAAAAAATATATGTATATATATATGTATATATTATTTTTTATATCAACATTTCTCTTTGATGCCAAATTAAGCAAATGTTGAAGAACTGATAATATATATATATATATATATATATCTATATATATATGTATATATATATATTTTTTTGTATATATACAAAAACATGTCAAAATAAATAGCAGCCTGTGGAGAGGCAAACCTTCGTCTCACCTCCTTCATTAATTCATTTAATTTGTCCCTGTGGCTGTTATTCTGGATATGATGCTAATTTTCTAATTTGTAAAACAGTGTTTTAAAAAAGCTCCCGTTTCCTCCCTGGAAAACTGGATCCCTTCTCATTTCTCAGGGATTAGCCATCCTTTTAAATTTGCTGTTTTGTTTACTACGACGTTTCCCTGTAGGTTTGAAATAATATGCAGCAGAGACACGAGGTAATAATGGCTAATAGTTGTCATGTTGTTTTTGCAGAACGATGAAGCAGTGACAGGTGGCGGTGACAGCACCAGCGAGGTTTCCGTCTCCTGCTCCTCCACGGACGACACCACCAGCGTGGGTCCCTCCAGCTCCAGTCTTGAGAGCAGCCAGGGCCTGAGCTGCAGCTGGAGCATAGAGGAGGGCATCCAGACTGGGGCTGCCCCCTCTGGGAGACCGGATGGTGGTGGTGGAGGAGGGGGAGGCGGAGCGGGAGAAGCCGACGAGGAAGCCAAAGACAGAGTGACCGAAGTGCCGCTGCGCTCCTGTCTGTTTCGGAACAGCCTACGATCTCTTTCTCCTCCCCGTCGTCACAGCTGGGGTCCTGGGAAAAACAACGCGGGAGACGCCGAGATGAACCAGAGGAGGTGAGACTGGGAGTGGGGTTTAGGGTGTAGGCCATCCTTAAATATATATATTGAGTTAATTGCACTTTAATGAACTAAACCTTTTTTTTCCCATACCTGTTTCTCACATTTTTTTTTTTGCCCATACCTGTTTCTGTTTCTCACTTCACAAATATTAGTGAGTAGCTGTCAGTAGATCTGGAGAGGATATAATTAGGCAGTGTTGATGTAACTTCCTCTCCACTTCTCTGAGTCTCCCCTCCTGCTGTGAACAGCTGGGTTGCTGTTTGTGTAAATGTTGGTGGGAAGCTGCCAAAATTATACACACACTTCACACACACACACCCTTCACACTTACGCTTATACTGGGAGCATCATGTGCGCTAGTCTTTAGTTAACACATGCTACTGTACTTTACACTCGTGTTAGCACTCAGCCGATGTCACTGTCACTGATAATGTCTGTGAGACATCCACATGCTCTTTATTTTACTTTGATATTTAAAAAATAAAAATAAAATTTGGTTAAAAGCTCATTTTCAGATGTATGAAAAACTACAGCCACCACTATAGCATTAGCTTAGCCTGTAAAAGATCCTCCTTTATGATCCATATGCATTTTGATTTGGACGTGTGAACTTATATGCACTTTTTCAATACATATTTTTTATTGGACGTTTTTGGCCACAAAAACATCATGACATTTCTAGTTGCCGCTCTGGGGCGTTGGTGGTTCTTTTTAATACACCTGGATTTCTGGCAGATGTGTTTGTTGCACACGGGCAGAGCCAGTTTAACTGTTTACCCTTTATTTCTCTGCTTCAATGTTCCATATAACGGTGACAAATCCTTAAATCGATTATTTTGTCAAATCTCTCGGCGAAAAAAAGGAAAGTGATTCACTTCCGTACGTCGACGTGTGTCGTCACGATTTTACTTGATGAATGTCATCAGTGGGACTCTCTCCACATCTTTAATGTGTGTGTGTGTGTGTGTGTGTGCCTCACAGATGTGTTCATCGAAGACTATATACCATGATTATGTGAAATTGATTGTCCACTCATTGATTCTGCTCTTAATAACCTGCCACCCCTCTCCAATCCCCCCTCATCTCACACATCATCCGTTTTCTGTCCCTGTCGTTGATCATCTCCAGTTACATCCGTAGTCCGGGTGAGGGGAAGACGACCTTTCACAGAAGAAGGTATAATAAATCCTATTCGTCAATTTAAGTCGTCTTGTTGCTTGGTGATGTGTGGCGACACGTTTCCTGTTGATCTGGCTGTGGTGAATCTGTCGCCTTGTTAATGTATGCAGGCTGAACTGCTGCTGCACTCTGCTCTGTCCCTGCAGGCTGGCAATGTTTGCTTTTTTTTTTTTTTTAAACCTGGAGGAATGTAGAGGATGTGCTAAGGCTGGTCCGATGTTCAATTTAACACAGTCTTGATATAATGAGTAGCCAAGAAACAAAGAAGTTAACAAGACTACGTTAGTCAAACTCCAAACAGTTTTATTTATTTTATTTTTTTTCATATTTTCACCCACAGGGAATTTTCTGATACATCAGTTAAGCTTTGAATTTTAGAGAAGTAAAAACAGTGAAAGTTCTGCTGAGGTTGTGCTGAGTGGGTTTGTGTTATAAAAAAAAATAAAAAAAATTTGCATCTTTGCCAATTCTGCAATCCATTACTTTGGACTTGAAAAAAAAAACATTAAGTTTTGTTTCTTGTGCTTCAATCGGTAGAAATAAATTAAATATAAGGACACATACATCAGCTACAGCATTAGCTTAGCCTGAACTCTGTACACTGTATAGATGCGACTTTATGAAGTGATTCCAGTTCCTAAATTACATGTTGGATGGAAACACGCGTGGTTTTGACTTCACTCTGTGACATTAAGGTCCGCTGTAGATTAGACAGATGAAGATTAAATGAAGTGTGATTCATTTTCAAGTCAGACACTGAGGAAAAATGTGAGAAAGTGAGAAAGAAACTGACCGTGAATTTCATTTACAGACATATATAAGGTCTTATGACACAGTGTTTGGTTCATATAATTCACTCAGTGCATGTTTTGAAGCAGGATGTTGTACAGTTGAATACTAAGGAGGTCTTCAATCAATCAGCTCATTGTCTATAACGTGGGAGTTAAAAGTGAATGTAGTCAGGTCAGCTGATGGAAACTGACTTGGTTCACTTGGTTTAACTTCCTGTCTGCTGCTGATGTTACCATAGCTCTGCAGGAAGTGATGACATTTGATTATCGCAGCAGTCGAAGCCAGTGATGCCGCCGAGTTCAAGGCAGTTTCTCAGACTTCCTGGTTACTGTCCATCACTGTGATTGTGTTATCGCTCCGAACAATCTTTTCACCCATCCTTCTGATCACTGCTCACTAACCACAACACTCTGTTAGCATCAGCTGGTGTCACCACCACAGTGTGGAAGTAGTTAGTTCACTCAGGTACAGCGTGTGTGTGTGTGTGTTTATGTCTGCTTGTGTGTGGCCTACTTTCTGTTGGTCCTGTTTGCATGATGCCTGATTTAAATATGCCATTCCTTCCTGTCCAGTCAGTCACTCACATCCTCCCTGCAGGTGAGAGAGAGCACTAACAGCGGCTGCTTTAATTTATCTCGGTGCTTGGGAATGTCTGGCTGCACGGCGGAGTATGTTGTAATACTAAAGGACGGATGCCTTAATAGAGCAAATATAGTCGTCTTGTGTTCACAGCCCTCCGGTGAGGGGTGAGGGGGTGAGTGCCGCTCCCTGGCTGGTCACTGGGAATCACTCAGCCATGATTCTTTAGGTTCAGTTTAGGTTAGAGATGTTGGGATGTATGGAAGTGATGCTTTGCCGGATAATAGAGGCAAAGGCTGGAGAGAGGAGAGATTTACTGCTGGAGCTTTAACTATCACAGAATCTGTCCTGAAGTGAATGGAGCTGCAGCTGCGTGGCGTAGCTCATCCTGAAATGTAGCTGTAGTTTACTTCTCCATAATCATTGTATTGGATTTTTCAAGGCCTCTTATTTCCAGTCATAGATCGATGTAATTGGGTTTGTAAATCACAGCTGCAGAGCTCTCCATGTTGATGCTGATGTTGAAAATCATTTGTACCTGCACCAGCTGTAAATCTGCTCCCAGCTCTGGGC